TTACTAAATGAAACATCTGATTTCCGAAGAAGTGCTTGACTTGGCTTACAATATACAATTTTTACGAATGTTATGCAATGAAAATTTACTATTGTAAGACCCAAAATCGATAGCGTAAGTAAAAAATGGTGTGAGGTTGCGTATGCATGTACACGATCCCACGAATGAGTATTACGCAACTTTAGCCTACGTAGTGGACTACTAGTTCTATGTTATGTCCCCGTAACCGTGCACTGAATTATCAAAAGGTGAAATTAGTGTAAATCATGACTCCTAAGTGATGACAAATAAAAGAGTGCATAGGAAAACATGAGACTGTGGCGATGTGTGTTGGTGTGGGCTCAATTTAAGACTAAAGGCTTTTGGATCCCCATAACTCAATATCCCAAAGCCAGTGACTATGCCACCAAGAACTATAATTACATCAGTATTTTATGGATTATGGACCCTTTAGCGTAAAGGTAATGATTTGATAAGTTACATTTACAGAGCGCTGGATAACTGTGGGACGGGTCCTTACCCCAGAGGAAAGAAAAAGTTACGACACCGCATGTGCCTTAAAACGGCTTATAGTGGCTCACATGACCATGAAGAAAAGGCAAGATCCCAAATTCACCGCGCAGTTCGTACTGGTAGATAAGCGTACACTAAGATTGCGCATCGACAAGCAAGTGAGTCATGATTATATGCATTTATATACATGAATAATAGCTTATTTTAGTACTATACGTTAGAGGATGCCTCAGCTAGATTCTCTATCTCATCTGAGGCAATAGCGGCGGAAGTGCAAAAACATCAAGCGTCAAGCGGAGCAAATGAGAGAAACAAGTCTAAACGTCAAGCCGACGCCGATGGAACCGAAGGACCCTCAAACAAGATGCAGAAACTATGAGGACATGCTAGCAAAACCTTTTAATGAACTAAAATGCTTTTTATGGACTGAAACTTATGACAATATTAAAAAGATTAATAAATTTTGAAACATGTGTTGTGTGTGAATGCAATAAATATCTCTACATGCAGATGAGCGTGCATGTAGATTCAGGTTCAGTGTTGGGAGCGGGCTTTGCCTCACATCACCACACTTACCCTGTTTAACCATAAATAACAAGAAGTGGGGCTACATATAGTAGTGAAGA